CTCCTCCAGGGCTGGGGGAGCCGGCCCGAGGGAGGGCAGCCTCAGAACTGCTGTACTCCCGCGGCGCTTCCCAGCCAGGGCAGGGTTCATGTCTGGTTCCAGCAGGCTTTAGCAACCAGCTAGACCTGCCCAGGGCGGCTGTCCACAGGGGCCTGGCACTCGGGAGAACAGGGGCAGTGGGAAGGGAGGGCGTCTCTTCAAATCCTCGTGACCCCAGGAACTACTCCAGAGAGGGGGCACGCGCACCTAGGACCACCGTACAGAGTCCTGAACCCTTCACCTCCAGCGTCCCTGACTTTCCGCATCAGGTTCCCAAGGTGTGCTTGGGTAGTACAAAGTGGGGCGGGGTTAGGGGTGGCGGAGTCGGGGCCTGGTGGGGTGGGGTTGGGAAGTACTGAAAGATATTCAGTCTATTTAAAAACACAAAAATCAAGCCTGGTGAGCTGGTGCTCGCCTGTAAGTCCTGAGGGCTGAGCTGGGAGGATCGCTTGGGCCCAGGAGTTCGAGACTGCCATGAACTATGATCACACCACTGCATTCCAGCCTGGGGGCCAGAACAAGACGCTATCTTTAAAAATAAAAACAAAACCCATAAAAAGCAGTCGTTGTGTGTGACAACATGCACTCAGATTTCCACAAATATAACTAAAAATCTGAACAGAGCCAACGTTTGGACCTGGGAGTAATCTCTACAACCTGTAACGGAGAGGCGTCTAGCTGTTAGATCACGTAAAATCTCGGGAGTTGTGCTTTAAATGACACAAGGAATAAGAAAATGTCCAACCCAGTGGGGGCTTCACCTTGGAGTTCTAGACTTCTGTGAGCAGCGTCTGCCTCTTGTTTATTTCTGAATCAGTTTCTGTTGATTCATTTTTCTCCTGATTATGGATCACATCTTTATGGTTTTTAGCCTGTCCGGAAATTTTTGCGTGGATGCGCACTTTGTAAATAGAACATTGTTAAGTGTCTGTATTTTAGGAGGGAAAGAATAAATAATTGGATGGGAAAATATCAGTCTCTGCTATGTTTTTATTATCTCCAGAGCTGACATTTAGGAACCCATTGCTTGCAGGTCCAGACCAGAGTGGGAGGTGAAATTAAAAGGCAGAAATAGAAAAGAAAGAAAAAAGCTCAATGTTACTCGCCATTCCATGAAAGGGAGAAATTATAAAGTTTTTGCAGGGCTATATTTGAGTGATTTCTGAGGCTGAAAGAAATGGCCTCTTAGCTCTAAAGGCTGTGTCTGGACTGTACCACTTTGACCTGGAGATTCTTCCGCATAGGGGATACTCATCCCATACAACTGCAGTCACTGTAAGATGACCTTGAAACAACATAATGCTTTTTATTTATTATTTTTATTTTTTGCCATAACGTTTGGAGAGCTTGAGCTGGAGAGCTTGAGCAGGATTGTTATGAGGAGAAACTTTCACCAGTGATGAAAATGCTGACTGAGGGTATCATCAAACCCTCCAAGGACTAGTTGTTATATAAATTATTAATATTAAAAATAACATATGATAATATGTAATACTAAGTAAGAATTGGATATGATTTCAAAGTTGGCCAAACACTTTCACATACATGATTTTATGTGGACTTCACAGACTTTGACCACCTCACTCCTGCCTCTGGGACAGTGAAAGAGAAGTCAGTACAGAGTGAGCCGTAGCTCACATGCTCCGTGGTAGGGAAGTGGACAGGGGAGAGGACAGCATTTCTCAGGTGCATTCATTTCTAAATCTCTCCAGCACCACCAAAGATTTTCCTGCATCTGCAACTTCACAGTAGGCCTTTTTGGGAGAAGTGAACATTATTTAATGTTGTGTTTACTGTGAGCAGTGGTTATTTCTGGGCTGTAAGTTGCGAGTACTGAAGGGGAAATATTGACTTTTATAATTTATAAGACTGTATAGCTGTTGAATTTTTTGTACAATGAGCTTGTTGTAAATTATTTTCTATTTTTTAAAAATAAGTGTTGACATCTGCTTCAGCCAAGAGGGAGCAACAGGTTTGATGACACCCTCAGTCAGCATTTTCATCACTGGTGAAAGTTTCTCCTCATAACAATGAACTTACTCTGTAGCCTGAAATGAAAAATATGGGAAAAAATGTATGAGACAATGGTTTCAGACATTGAGCAACAGGCAATGCAGGGCCCAAGAGAAGGGAGACAAAGGAAGTGAACAGGCTGCTTGCTCCAGCTTGCTGCCTGGCGAGGGTTTCCAAGCTGCAATGCAGACAGGGGAACCGAAATAGCATCTGAGTTGGAAAATAGAGCTGAGAATTCAGGGAGGCCAGGGTGGCTAGAGTACTGGAGAGGAGAGAGTGCAACGGAAGGAGGGAGTTCTGGAGATCTGCGCAGGGTTCCTCTGAGTCTTCAGCAGAAGTTCGACCAGGTACGTGCATGTGAGAAAACTTCCCAAGACACAGAGGCAACCGCTAGAAAAAAGCCGGCAGAAAAACTTCTGAGCTTGCACTGGCCAGGCAATATATTCATGTTCTCAACAGCCAGAGTGGAGAAAACTCAAACAGCATGAGTTTGAGTAGGAAGGGAAGGGATTACAGAGAAGCACATGAAAACTTCTGCAGTGATAGGTGTGTTCATTATCTTGATTGTGGTGATAGTTTCACTGGTGAATACATAAATGAAAGTTAATCAAATTGTATATTTTAAGTGGGTATAGTCAATTATATGTTAATAAGGCTATTTTTAGAAACCAAGTTTCATTGCATTGTGCATTATGATTTATCTTCTTCTTCTTGTTCTTTCAGTTTTTTTCAGAAATAAACTATCTTTGTTTTAAAAGCCTAAACATCAAAACCTTATCAATGGATAGAAGAATTTTTATGTGAGGATGAAAATGGCAGGAAGATATGTTTCTCTTTTATAAGACAGATCATTAAGAGTAAGAGTGGATCAAATTGAGATTTGGACTTTGTAGGTCAGTTTGTGGAATGTTGGAATGAGATGACAGGTATATTAGCTGGGCTGCTGTAACAGAATACCACAGACTGGGAGGCTTATAAACAACAGAAATTTATTCCTCACAATTCTAGAGGCTGAGAAGTTCAAGATCATGGTGCTGGCAGACACCATCACCAGACGGTGAGGGCCCACTTCCTGGATCATAGACAGCAATCTTCTCACTGAGTCCTCACCTGGTGGGAGGGGTTAGGGAGCTCTCTGGGATTTTTTTTTTTTTTTGAGACAGAGTCTTTCTCTGTCACCCTGGCTGGAGTTCAGAGGCACAATCTCTGCTCGCTGCAACCTCCGCCTCCTGGGTTCAAGCGATTCTCCTGCCTCACCCTCCTTAGTGGCTGGGATTACAGGCATGTGTGCCACCACGCCCAGCTAATTTTTGTATTTTTAGTAGAGATGGGGTTTCACCATGTTGGTCAGGCTGGTCTTGAACTTGTGACCTTATGATCTGGCTGCCTCAGCCTCCCAAAGTGCTAGGACTTCAGGCGTGAGGCACCACACCTGGCCTGGGATCTTTATTATAAGAACACTAATCCCATTCGTGAGGGCTCCACCTTCATATCCTAATCATCTCCCAAAGTCTCCACCTCCAAATGTCATCACATTAGATTTCAACATAGGAATTTTGGGGAGTTACAAACATCCAATCTATAGCAACACCCTAGTGACCATCGTTTTTTGTTGCCCTCCCCTCCCCACTACTGCCCATCTTAAATACTTTTACAGGCATCGAATAAGTTAAATCAGTGCATGTGAAGTGCTTAGAAGGGCATCTGACACATGGTAGAAGCTCAATAAATGCTAGTTGTTGTTGTTATTGCAACAGAAATGAAGGACCTTTCCCAAGATTAGAAGTCATGAAACCACTTGAAGCCTGAATCTCCTCTACAGCATCCCAACTGAGTGGCCATTGCACTAAGATTCTTCCTTCTCCATATCCCTTTCACGGAGTACCCCTTTCATGGGATCTGCTCTGCTCACATCCCTGGAAGGGGCAGCTGCAACCCCCAGGTGACCACACCCCCTGTTCACTAGGAATGGAATCTATAATGAACACCTGGCCCAAGCAGAGCCAATCAGATATTCTCCCTAAGGAACGTAAAAACAGAATTGAGAAACAAACTGACTCAGCAAATTGACTCAACAAACTGACTCAACAAACTGAGTCAGGGAGGGAAGTGTAGCTGGGAAGCGAGGTGAGCTCCAGGGGACATGGAAGGGGACGATAGCAGAGAGAAACTGTTCAGCAGAAGGGGACAAATGGAACAGTGAAAAGAGGAAGTAGAGAACAGTGCAAACATAGCCCTGAGAAAGGGAGGGAGTGAAGACAGGAGTTGCCTGACACTTTCTGATCTCAAATCTCTCCGCTGAGCACCTACTTGTCCTTCTACCTGGAATTCCTCTCATGGAGTTCTTGCCTTGCAGCCCAGTGTTCTAGGTTCGTCCTAGTTAAATCTCTGTGGATTGCAAACAACAGAAACTCATTTTAGATTGGTTCAAAGAAAAAATAGCTACCGTGTTTACACACATGCACTCACAGGCAGAGAGGAAATGAGGCTGGGCCTTAGGAGAGCCTGGACCAGACACGGCAGAACCCTCAGCAATCAGGCAGCTGGTCTTCCAGTTGTTGCTTCTCTCTTCTGGGACCAAGTAGTCTGAGGTCTCCACTTCTCTCTGCACATCTGATTCACGCTTCTCTGAGTCTGACGTTTTTTGCCCTCCATGTACAGAGCCTAAGTTTATCTCACCTCACCTGCAGCAATGAACAGAAACTCAGAGCAGTGACCATCAGTACCAAGAGAGAGACTCTGATGAGTCCAGCTTGGTCTTGTGTCCACCCTAAACTGAGGTTAGTGTACAGAGACCATGAGGCACAAACAGGGCTACAAACATGGCCTTCCCTCTCCTCATTGAGGATGGAACGAGAGGCCATTCTTAGAGGAAGGACGTGGTAGTAACTGGGGAAAATCCTGAAAAGTTGTCTTCTGCATTGACTAAGGCAATGCCCCATGTCTGCTTGACATGTTCATTAATTTTCATTTTAAATTGAAGAAACACTTATAAAAAGTACTGTGCTATGACTACCAGGAACCGTTCTGAGTTCTGCAAGTCACTTACTTACTTAAAACAACAATTACGCAGCACGTGCTACTATTACCCCCAGTTCATAGGTAGGGAATGCAATATTTTGTTACTGAAACACCAGGGGTTCAGTTTAGGTCCCGTCGCTTGCAACACAGAAAGCCAATCACTGGATCAAGTATTTTTGGGGAAGAAGGCTTTTTTTGGCGCTGCCAAATAAAGATAAGTGGAGATAAGTCTCAAATCTTCGACCAACTTAAATTGGGTGTGTATATAGTGGGGAAGGGCTGTAGCTACCCACAGGAAAACAGGAAATAAGGAGGGGTAAGGAAGAACAATTGGTCAACAGGAAGCAAATGGTTGGTTAGGAAAACAGGAATTATGGAGGAGTAAGGAGAAGAGTCTGGTGTCTCATTATTTGGGTATGGTGATGTGAGTTTCACTTCCTCCATATTATCTGGAAGTCGGAAGTTTTCCTGAAAAAGGAATTCAGATAAGAGAAATGTAAGTTTTAAGCATTAAGAAAAGCAGGGTCCATTTCTAGGCTTAATAGGAAAAAAATGGCAAACATCAGTTCTCTGGGGAAATTGAGCTAGTTTCGCCTTCACACACCAAAACTCCTTCCATCTTTGGGCAACTCTTACTATTCATTAGAATGTTTTCCTTATATTCAGTTACAATCTGTTTTGTAGCTACCAAGTATCTGTCCCAGTTCCTTCTCTTGGGACCACTCAGAGCAACCTATACCTACTCCCAAGTGATGGTCCTTTAAATAATTTTAAAATGCCGTTGAAGCTCAGGCAACTCAGCCTGCTTAGTACGGCACAGTGTTGAGGGTGGCTTATAACAGCAGTGTCCAACACGTGCTGGCTGTGTCACTATGGGCAAGTCACCTACCCTCTTCAAGCACCAGATCACCCCTCTGTAAT